CCCCCCTAGATTACGAGTGCCTTCGGCGCTCCCCTCTCAAAATCCATCGGTAAAACTGGGCAGACTGAAAAATTATGCAAGCTGGCCGACGTCGACCCGGACTCCCCTGTATTTGTGGACGCACTCGGGGACCAGGGCAGGTGGGAAACACAAGGAACACATACCTTTAATGCGTGCTTCATTACATGTAAGGTATACGTAATTTTGTCTGTGATCACCTTTTCTCACGAAGCGAGATACCAAATCCAGTGCAGCTCGAAAAAAAGCCTTTCAATTTACCGTTAAGCGTTGCCGACCGTCCTGAATTTACCGTTAAGCGTTATCGGCCCTGCTGAATTTACCGTTAACCGTTACCAGGACCCCTCCCCCCCCCATGCAGACCCTCCGTAATAGGACATTTAGCCGCAAATCATAAAGTCGTAATCAGCTCTGAGACTTTAACGTAATTCGTAATAGGCGGCGTACATTATTTTGCATAATTCGTAATCACTACACCCCTATCGGCCCTATGTGATCATATATGATGACAGCAGTCTAATCCCTCCTGCTATGAAATTGCAACACGATGTAACCCAACACTAGTCACTATGATAATAGTCTGGTTCGGGTCATTGAGGTTATTATTTGGAGAAGAAGAAGAAACGTAGCAAAAACTAGATAGTAATATTAGCGGTTGCTAATATAGACAGGTTTGCGTTGTACATAGTCATTGTAGTGTAACTTACAATATGTTTTTTTGTGTGTGCTTTACCTTTTACAGGGTTCCTTCTCATCCTTTTCTAATCCCCACTTACCTTGTAAACAATTTCGTCATCAATATACTAACAAAAGAACAATAGTTACACCCAAAACAAAATTTCACTTCTTTATGACTTCTCTATGCCCCATGACCTTTAACCTTTTGAGGGTCATGCAGGCGTCAACAGCGCCCTCCCCACGCCTTGCCCACCTACCTACCGAACTACCTACCTACCTACCGAACTACCGAACTACCTACCTACCGAACTACCTACCTACCTACTACTACCCTCGCAAATGCAAGGTGATGTTTCTGCACTTCTCAAAAACTGTGCCACCACTACCCTCACTAAAAATTGACAACTACCCCCTAGTACAAGTTCAAGTAGCTAAACTCCTGGGGCTCCATATACAAGGTAGCAGGTCACAGTATTAATGGGCGACCCCCGGGGACGATGACGCGGGTATAGAAAGTAGTGCAGCGAATATTCTTGAAGGCTGGGTAGAAAGCCTGATAAGAGCGTCAGCCAGATGTAAATTGTGCTGTGTGGTGTAGAAATGTATCGGGTTTGAGACTGTATGATTTGATTTGTGAAGGTTTTGCAGTTCGTGTATAAATGCGCCGTATTGTGCAACTGGCTTTCCGGGTGAGTCGGCTGCAGTTCAGGTCACGTCCGTAGGAGGCGATTTCAAAGTGTACGTTACGAGCAGATACGCCGACAGGATTTTTTGGTTTCTAGATATTTTGTAGTTTGTACCTTCTTCTCAAACATATTCGATTTTCGTATTTGTGAAGTGCACCCTGCTATAATTTTTACCGCGTCGAAGTGAGTCATCTTGGGGTCCTTAACTATAGAAATCCCCATAGGGCGAAAACTGTGTTCTGCTACCACAAGCTGACCTAAAATGAAACACCCAGGTGGACCACATGGCCAAGAAAGGAAGCCAGAGGCTTTTCTTCTTGAGAAGACTCAAATCTTTCGGAGTTACTAGAGAAGATCTTGTCACCATATATACAAGTTTTGTCCGACCCACTTGTGAGTACGCTGTCCCAGTTTGGCAACCAGCCATTACACAGTCCCAAAGACGTCAACTGGAAAGAATACAGCGAAGGGCTTTTCGAATCATCCTTGGGCCTGACTACACAACCTATACTGACGCTTGCAACACGCTATGCCTCATGACACTACAGCAAAGACGTGAACACCTTTGTCAGACATTCGCAAGAAGACTACTACAGTCTGAGTCCTACCGGAATTGGCTACCCCCCTTCCGGGGAGACGTCAGTGGTAGAAGAACAAGAAACAGCAGCCTATTGGACACTATTAAAACACGAACTAATCGTTACAGGAATAGTCCCATACCCTATCTTGTAACACTCTTCAACAATAATGCAACCAGTATTTGCAGTTTCGATTCAAATATGTTGTAATGCACATATGTTAAGTTTGGGAGAAGAAATTCATTAGATTTTAATTCTTATGTAAAGATCTTTACCTGACCTGAATTATCACCTTGAACGTATTAGA